GAGCCAGGAGCAGCCCGGCCGCCAGCAGGGAGCCTTCCCCCGGCCCCAGCCCGCCGAACGGGGTTCCCTCAGGCCCCCAGCAGGGAAGCTGTCCCCTTCCCCCTCCTCAGACACGCAGCAGTGGGGGGTGCTGCCCCCAGTCCGCAGAGAAGCTCTCAAGCCCCCTTCTCCTCCGAGCGGGGCGCCACAACGGGGTGCTGCCCCCTCCACAGACGGGGTGTATCTGCCCCGCATCGGGGGTGCTGCCCCCTCCCTACTTATAACAGGGGCTCTCCTGCCCAGCTATAGGGCTACTGCTCCAGCCTCCCTCCCCTACTTAACAGGGGTGCCCTCCCCCCGTTCCCCCCGGCAGGGGGGGGTCTCCCCCTCACCCCCGAGCCTAGGAGCCATGCCGACGTCAAGAAATCTACACAGAAAGCTCTGGACCCAAAGAAGGACGTCCTGACCCGCCTCAAGCACCTCAAAGCGCTGCTGGGTGAGTCGGAGTAGGGGTGGGGGGGGTAGCAGACAGGGTGCACCATGCGTGCTTTCAATTCAAGGACTCTGTGGGGAGTGAGGAACTATCACTTGGCTTGCTAACTACTAGCCATGCCGACGTCAAGAAATCTACACAGAAAGCTCTGGACCCAAAGAAGGACGTCCTGACCCGCCTCAAGCACCTCAAAGCGCTGCTGGGTGAGTCGGAGTAGGGGTGGGGGGGGTAGCAGACAGGGTGCACCATGCGTGCTTTCAATTCAAGGACTCTGTGGGGAGTGAGGAACTATCACTTGGCTTGCTAACTACTTTCCCCCCTCCCCACTGGATTATTCCTCCTCCCCACTGAAGGACTGGGCCCTGCTGGGTGCTGAGTGGTGTATCCTGGGAGCAGGCACCAATAAAAGGAGAACGAAAGGTGCCACACCAGCTCTGGATCTGTCACTTCCTGCTATTCAGTGAATGAGTACAAGGCTCCGTTTCAGGGCATGGCTCTTACAAGCCAAGGGATTGCTAGTCCCAGGCTCTGAGGACACCCTTGCAAACCATTTCTGATTGATTTATTTCTGTTATGGTGGCACGTAAAGGCCCTAAAAAGGTACCCATCTTGTTAAAGGCACTCAAGGTACATGTAACAAAAAGACTATTCCTGCCTGGTTTGTATAGCATGAAGATGAAAGAAGATTCATGGACACATCAGTCTCTCAACACAAGAGGGCGTTAGATTTAAAAACTGCCTTGAAATCTTTTTCTTTCCTGCTACAACCCCCAAAGGGAACTGTTTCCCTTGGAGTGTGCCAGCGTTTTCAGAGAATGGAGAAACAAAAGCAGTTTTCTTTCTCAGTTTTGTTTTTGTGGTTTCAAAAAAATTACCTGGGGAGTATTTTCATGAGTTAATTAATGAGAATTATTTTTGTGTTATTCCTCATTGTAACCATAGTATATAATCATTGAGGAAACACTTTCTTTTCAAAACAAAATCCATTGATTAGAGATGTTAAATATCAATTATCTAAATAGTTGATTAACCTCTTGAACTCTTATCGGTTACTTGGCTATTCTGTAGTCTCCATGGGAGGGGGCAGCAGCCAGTGAGCTCCGGCCCCACTTCTAAAGAGCCCCCTGCCGCTCCACACTGCTGCTTCTATGTCAGAGGCAGCAGCATGGGGTGTCAGGCAGGAGCCCGTCCACGAGGGAAGCCAGTTTAAGAACCAGTTCCCCTTGTGGACCAGTTGCCTGTCTCCCCATGCTGCTGCCTCTGATACAGAAGCAGCATCACTGGGTCTAGGGTGAGATCTGAGCTCCCAGATCCGGTGCAAGCCGGAACTGAGCTGGGTTGCCTGCCTGTCTGCCCGCCCGGCTCCTAATACACTTTAACTGCAGAGTCACAGCAGGGGTAGGTCCCAGACCTGGCACAAGCTGGGACTGATCTGAGCTGCTGGCCAGCCTGCTAAAAGGGGGGAGGGGAGGGGGGGCGGGGATGCATGTAGGCTATAGCATTAACCAATAAGCTTTTGCTTATAGATTAATCGAGTACATTACATCCCTACCACTAACTAGTGTGTACTGAGATTTAGGGCAAAACTTAAGCAAGGGGATAGTTCTCTCCATCCCACTTTCTGTTTAATTATAAATGTTGCAGCTAATACTGTTACGATTAAACTCTTGTATATAAATTTAAGCAAATATCTTTACCTCTTACCCTAATAGAATTTATGGCTGGTTTATAAATTCAAACTTCAGGATATCTTTACTGTAGTCCTAAATTATTAGTAGGAAAGGACACAATAGGCTGGGTGAAATTATTCAGGATGTTCCATGAAGCTATAATCTTGCTATATTAAGTGAATTATACATTTCAAATCACTTTAGTGAAAATTTGATCGACTGTTTTAGTCTTACACTAAATTAAAACACGTTTACATAGTACTCACAGTTTAGGTGGAGACTAACAGAATGATGGAGTAAATAAAACTTTCAGACTTCTTAATATTACCTTAATCTTGATTTTATATTCGTAGAATATGTATTTGGTAGCCCACATTAAGGGTTAAACTCACTATAATCTATTAAAATATAACAAATATGCAAGCAGTTCAGGTTTGCTGCCAAAGTTTTAAAAAGAAATTCAAACCACTGAACTGGTGGCTAAGCACCTGGAGCTAGAGCTTGCTGAAGTGCTAAAACAAGCTTCTGACAGCAGTAACCTCTTTTTGTATGTGCAGAGAGAAGTTTTTCTTGATTTCCATTTATTAAATTAATTTATTTTAGTAGCTAGTTCATTCAAAGTTGAGACACCAGTTGCGTGAGGGAAAAGTAGAAAAGCTTGTTTCCCTCTTCCAAGCTATTATTTATAAAGATTGTGGGAGTGGGGGAGGGGTGCAAGGGGGGGGTGCATTGGGGTGTGTGTGATGTGATGTGATGGTGGTGAGATCTACTAGTTCTAAAATCCTGAAGGATCTGATCACCAGAAACAATTAGTTCAGTTCACTATAGATAATATTTGTGTAATAAATCAGTTAACTTTAAGTGCAAAATATATTTTGATAAATTTGTTTGTGTGTATATATTTGTATTTATATCTCTTTAAGATACTTTTAATAATGAACCAATTTTAGAATACTGTTTTGTGCATTTTAATTGCTTTCCAATTTTATTTCTAAGTCTAGGTTGACACAAATCATGAACAAAAAATTAATAATCTTGTAAATGTCATTCTCCATTTAACATAAAATATAAAAATTTATAATCTGAATAAATGTGCATTAAGATGTACAATTTATAGATGTACAGTTTTGGTTATCAAAATTCCAAATTTAAACATGTTTTAATAGTTACAGTAACCAATGAAAATCAACTTTCTTTAGGAAAATAACTATAAATATAAACTGGACAAAAAAAAAAAGTTCTACCAGACTGGTTTTTTTTTTTTCAGTGTACCTGCACAGATTAACTCGGCTACCTCGTAAAGCTTATAAATATAGAGTAAGATTGAAATCATTTATATAAATGAACATTTCCTGCTTGCTGACTTAAATCATTGTGTAAATCACTTTGAGGTAAATACATCTACTCTGGACAATAAGCCCAACGTTTTTTCTTCCTAGTCACTTAAAATCCAAACCAGTCTTTGCGTGGTTAATTTCTTGTTATATCATAACAGTTGTATGGAATCCATCTATTCTACATAAATGTCCATAATAAAAGGCACTACAGAAAAAATGTTTACAGTCCATTGATTATTTCCTGGTGACCTCAGTTCTCCAAAATAAAAGATTTTGTCCGAATACAGTGATATTTTCTGTGTGCTCTGAATATGTTCTGTTTATCAATATTTAGAGAGTTGGAAATATTAAAAATAAGATAAATCAGAGTAGCCAAATTAGTGTAAATGTTTTGTTTGCTTAGTCATTCTTTGATTATTCAGTTCTTACTCAGCCAAGAACATGAAAACATTCATCTTGGTTCATAAGATAAGGAGATGACATTATTACAGGGGCACTAGTTACCCTTTATATCTGGCTAAATAACTTAACATGTGACTTAAACTTTATATTTAATAAAAAAATAAAAGTTTATGCAATTTTTAAAACAATGACAGTTGCTAAGAGTAAACTATATTGTTAATCACAAAATCCAAACATAAAGCAAAGAAAATAATAGTTAAGAAACACACACACACACACACACACACACACACACACACACACACACACACACACACACACACACACACACACACACACACACACACACAAAATTACTGCCTAGATAAGTGCATTCCCTTTCTCTTTTTCACATAAAGAAATTTCATCACAGCCCATTGCTACCTGCAACCCATGGATTGCTGGGCTTCTTAGATGTTTTTTCAATTTTGATTTCAGTAGTTTTCTTTCAAGGGCTAGTTCTAAACGTGAACTATTGATTACTATTTTATCAATTGGCATTTGAATTTTGTTTTTGTAAAATACTTACATTTGTGTTCTGGGAATAATTTTGACCATTGTTTTAATATTAAGGTACAAACCTTTAGTGATTAGTAAAATTATGTGGATATTTGAACTTGCATTAGAACCAGGTTAACATGTGTCATTAATCTCTAATATAAAATTATTTTGAGGGAATGTGAAGAAGTAATTTTAGCTAGAATGAATTTAATGTATTTTTATATTAATAAACACTTCCTTATTGTGTTAGTGTAAGAATTGAGGTTCTTAATTTTTAATTTCCAAGGTTTAGTTTAGGGATGTCAATGTTGAGTTGACTATATCAGAGGCAGCAAGATGGGGTAGCAGGAGCTCCCGCTTGGAACCACAAGAGTGGGGCCAGAGTGCACTAGATGCCGTCCCCACCCGTGAAGACTATTGAATACTTGTGTAACCAATCAGAATACATGCGGTTACATGACTGTTCAATTATCCGATTTCTAACATCCCTAATTTGGTTTTTGTAAATTGTGATAAGAAACTGAATTATTTAACAGTCTTAAACGTTGTTTGAAACAAAGTCACTGGGTTTTCTTTTTTGTTATTGTAAAGGCTTTGAAATTTCATAGTGTCTGTTTTGTTTTAGACCTTTACTTTTGTTTTTAGTTTTTTCATTTATTTACACAATAGGAAATGTAAAGGAGTGGGATGGAATGGATCACCAGATTGAGAGCTGAAAATTGTTCCTTCAAAAACTTGTTTCATTTGATACACACCTGACAAGATACTGTACATTTATGTTTTGGTAATTTTGCTACCTCACGGATGTGCTATATAACCTAACTTCATTTCAAATATTAGTTGTTAGCAAATAGTCAGACCCAAAACTAGAACCCACATAAAGCTAAAGCATCCTAGTCAAGCCACTGTGCTTCTGTCCCCTGGTTACACTATCTGAAAAATATGGCTTATGATGATGCTTTCCAGTTAGCTAGGATTTTTTCATTTGTAGATCTTAAGTACTTTATAAAGTTGAATAAGAATTATCATCCCTATTTTATGTTTGGCCACAGTA